GTAAGACAACTGACATTTAGACTGCTACAGTAGGAGTGCAATGAAAGGTTGTAGAAGAAAATTCTCACATGAGGAGACACATCCCCCTCCTTATTTTTCTTACCTCCAGCATCCGTCATCCAAACGAAGAGGTTATTTGGCAATAAGCAGACAACCACGTTATATATTGCTTCTTTATCAATATAAACAAAATACAAAACTAATATCACACTTTACCACCAGCAGACATTTGATCAATACCACTCAACCAAACAATTTGGGGTCTCTGCCTTTGGATGCTGCAGCCATTCAAATTGACCGCTGTTGTTGATGATGCTGTTTTCATGGCAGGGATGGTTTGGAAATAGGTTGGTGATTTAGTGCTGCTGCCCACACGATGTGTGTGTGTGTGTGTGTGTGTGTGTATGTCAGGGTGAGTTTGTGCATGTGCGTGTATGTGTGCCCGCCCTTGGGCGTCTCTGTAAAGCAAGATTCAATGCTTTTATTTCCTGGTTGATTTATGTGGTGACGTTTGCCTTTGCGCTCACAATCACATTACTGGAAAGGAGGAAGAGCCAGGATTTGTGTGTCTGTGTTTGTAAATCAGCATGCAGTGATGTTGTTTTAAAATAATAAGGCAAAGAACAGCAGACGTTCACCCACTCTCCTCCTTCCTCTTCTTTACTTTTCCATTATATAAGAATTGCTGAACACACATTGAGAATATTTGCCCATTTGGCCAATTTCTACACACGTGGGCTATATGCACATTCAAAACTGCCACACAACACAAATGAGCTAAAAGTTTCCACTATTATTGATGGCTGTTTTGTCACCAGTTTTATTTATACCTTGAGGCATGAAAGGATGTTTAAAACACATTTGGTGATGATTCAAATCTGTGTCTAGGCCTGTGGATATTTCTTTTTTCCTAAATTGTCTGTCAGTTTTTCGTATTTGTGTTCCTGTCTGTATCTGCTCACTGTGATAAAGTGGCTAGATTAAAGAGTGTAGCTTTTGCCTAGACGGCAGCATAGAGATGTAACGGTACACAAACAGGCTTGTTATTTGGCTCGGTGTGTTTTTTTCCACCACTCTCTCGCCATCCTCCTAATCATTCACAGCGAAACCGAAGTAGCTCCAAATACCAGACCTGCAGGTTACTGATGGATCTTCTATTTCTGATGTGGTAATTGTGTTACAAATATCTTGCAGCAAGCTAGCTTAGCGTAGCATGTTCCCAGCATGGAGTTTTTTGTTTTTGTTTAGGAGTAGGAGGGGAAGACGGCACGTTGACTGTTGTGTCATGTGGGCTGCCTCTTTGAGCGTAGTGGCGTAGAGATTAGAGAACATTATATCAAACATTGTTTAAGCTTTTTTTTTTTCAAATATAATACAGTAGTTCTATGTATTGTTCAGTTTGTAATGCATACCAAAACAAAAGCCTCGTACCGAACGGTTCAATATGAATACACGTTACGCCCCTAGCAGCCAGCCCTTTAAGTGCGAAAGTTTGTCCTTGAGTGAGTGACTGATAAAGATACACCCGCCGTCAGAGTGACTGAAGATGTCAGTGTGGGTGTTTTCCCATTGGCTGTTGCTCTTTTGAAATGAATAGAGTGGTGGTGGTTAGCTATTTACTTCTGGTCATTGCATTTAGGCTTTGGAAATCAAAAAAGTGGTGTACATCTGTGAAGATTACCTTGCTAAACAACTAGCCAGCTGCTACATGAGTAAAAATGAGTAAGAAATGCAACACATAAGAAAATAACACATTGAGTAAAACACCTCAAAGCTTCATCCACACTCTCCTATCACAGCGAGACAGCTCAGCCTCCACCAGTTATGTGGGAACGTTCATCACCGACTTGAGCTGAAGAGGGAAGGGTTGTCTTAATTGATCAGTGGGTATGGCTCCAGAGAAAGCAGGTCCCTTCTGCTGTCTGAGTGTGTCTAATATTAATTTTTTGGCTGGACCGTGACAACAGGTCCATCACTATAAGAGCTAGTCCGTGACCGAGTGAATGTCGCCACTTTCTGTTTCAAATTAAAAGCCCTCCAGCATTTCATACACAGTCCAGCCATATACAAGGCACTGACCTAGTCTTGTACTCGCATACATGTTGCTGATGAATCACTGCACAGGCGCAACATGTATCAAACAGAAAAGATAAAGAAGAAAGAGACGATGTGGTAAAAAAGGAGGGGAAATGACTGATTAATAGCTCTAATGTGGCAAATATTGCTCCATTTTAATACCCGTTGTGACTGCTGCGGCCTCCAGACCCAGACAACTGATGGGATATTTCAAAGAAAGAAAAAACAAACCACATACAAAGACAGCGGTCTGCAGTACTGTGCAGCTTTTAACATACGTCTCGAAGCTTGAGCGAGGTTACTATGGCAACTCCATGGTGGAAGCCCTGATTAGAGAAGCCATTATAGTGGGAGGGTTTGTTCATATTTTTTGGGTGTTTTGGATACTGTGGAGTGCAGACAACTCTGGCTCCAAGTGCCTGCAGCGCACACTGAATAAATGTATCCACCTTTTGTTTGACTTGCTCTTCAGAGACTTAGTTTAAAGCCACATATACAGTTCCCTCCTCCCTCCATGCGTTTGTCCTCTAGACATACACAACCTAACATTGTCCTCCAGTGTCGCAGAGCCAGTTTAAAATGTGTACAAATCCTTCCCCAGCAGTGCCATCTTCAAACTGATTGGAACCCCCATTCATAATTTATCCCTAATGGAATAGTTAATGAGTCTTTGTGTTTCACTCTTTATCGCTTTGTCCAGACCTGTTTGTCTCACCTCATCTATACTGCATGATTATTAAAACAACCAAGGCTCAATCAGTGGAAAGGGTATTTACATTTGCCAAATGCTGATGGATCAAATTATTGCAGGATACATACTTAATGAGGCCTTTTGATGAAGAGGCAGTTAGCATACCGCTCCCAAATGCCTATAAAAACAGCAGTTGCTTTTGAGTTTGGTGAATGTTTAAAAAGGCTGTGTTACAATGGATTGTCCTTCAGAAGTTATATTTGATCAACAGTTTATTTGAAATTGGGTAGAGAACCTAAGATTCTTTTTTTTTTTAGATGATTGTTTTCCAGAATGATTGTTTTACACTGTTAAATTACATTATTGTAACCTGCACAGGGCATTAGCCTCACATTTTTTAAACTAATTGAGCATAAAAGTGGGTTTTCGGGGTAATTTTTTTCAAAATACTGCACTTTGCACTACAGAGGCATCATATTTTCTCCAGTAATTTTGGCCTCTGTGGGGATTCAGACCATAGCCATTGCTGTATTAGCACCAGACTCTATTCATAGAGCTGAACAAGACCAAATAAGTGCCACAGTCTTCTAAAAGTGGTACAAAACAGCCCTCAGCCAATGTAGCCTGGCTGGTTATTAATGGAATTTGCAACCTGTGTCACACATACACACTCACACAAACACACACTATAAAATATGATGCTTATTTTCTGGTAAGTGGAATACAGTTAGCAGAGCTTCACTGCACTAGCTTACACAATTAGTGGCCCAATGGGTTGAGGGGATAAACGGGTTGAAATGAGGAGGCAAAAAGAGGAGAAAGCGAGAAACAGATAACACATGGTTAATTGTGTGTAACAGAGCAAAGCTATGGCCCACTCACTAGCAGCCAGTCAACGCCCCATGTTGCCTCATTTTTCTGTCTCAGCAACAGTGCAGGTTGACATTTATTTTGATGACTAATTTAGTATTGACTAGTGGGAACTTTATCTGCCATTACAGATGCTGGCTCTCACCAGTCTTTCCCGTGTCCGTTTCCCTTTGTGCAGCAACCATTTTGGCTGAGTCAGAGTGCCCTTGGGCAGTGTGTGACCTTCGGATGAGCAGTGGTGTCGAGCCATTTCTCCCTCACACCCTGTCTTCCTCGAGCTGGGTCTCAGTTCAGGGGCTACATACTGTACACACATAAGTCAGTTCTAGACTGAGCCTGTCATAACAGATCAGAGGTTTCTACAAATGTGGCAAAAGTTGCAACCTTCCTTTTCCCAAATTTGGAAAGCACAAGTCATCTATTGCACCCCCCAGAATCCCATAACGTATTGGAAGATGGTCAGCTGCTTAAAGGAGGTTTCTGGCTGTTGTTCTTATGTCAACATATGGTGTTCAGTTTGCTGAAATAAAATGTTTGCATTTTAAGTTTCTGCAAACCATATATACATTACATTTGCACATTTCATATATATCATACCAACGGTTCAAAAGTGATGTAATATATAAGCTGACTTGGGAAGTGGAGAGGATGGTAGATGTTGTATAGGCAAGATGCCTGCCAAGCTGCACACCACTATTCGAAACCAACCACCCTGGTTGATTTTTTATTTTTTTTTAGCAACCCTTTGTGACATTTCCACCGGTGTTTGTGGCACCTAACCTGAGTATTTTTAGCAGCACATCATGGCATTTCCAAGTATTGTTTGTGGCACTGAACTTGGGTGTTTTTAGTGGCACATTGTGGCATTTCTCTGCGGCATTTGTGGCACTCAACTTGGGTGTTTATCACCAATACAGTGGCTCATTTTCCAGAAGCTTGTGTGTCACCAAAAGTGGCAGGATATTTTCCAAAGCGTAATGTAGTAATTTTTGTGTTTAAACATGTGTGCTACAAAATTATGTACAAATATAACATATCCACGTTTTGCAAAAATGTACAATAGGAACAAAAATGGTGAGCACATGAATAACAGCGTTTTACACTTAAACTGTTGAGCAATTTCTTGGTGATAAATGAACTCTTTAAGGTACAATCACATTTAGGTTGTTGTGGAGCTAAATCATCTAGGACAGAATTTGAGCCTGGCCCTAGGTTCTGTAAAGAATTCACCTTTGTGGGCTGCATACTTTTGAGGCCTCAGCAACATCTTATGTCTGTCTCTGTTCTTGTTTCCATTCCAGAAGTCCTTTAATACTGAGTAATGATTTCCTCTCTTCCTCTCTGCTTCCTTTCTTGTCAATAGGTGCCATCTTTGATGAGTCAGCAAGGAAAGATGATGAGGTGTTTCGCCTCGCTGTGGCAGATCTCAATTTGAACAACGAGATCTTGGAGACGGAGAAGATCACCATCTCTGTGGAATTCGTTGATGGGAATAACCCCTTCCAGGCTGTACAAGAAGGTAGGATGATAATACTACCTTGTTAAGTTCAAAATGTGTGCCTACAAGCAACAGGGCCTAAAAGGTGCATTGGCTTCAAAGTCAAATTTCTCAAGTTCTTTTTGTGTTGAAATGAAGTATATATAAAAAGAGGACATCGATTCGCATCTTGGCATGGTTCCTTTTTGTCCCCGAAATGTTCTGGTCCAGGAACAGACTGAACTGAAAAGTCTTTCTTCAACATTCATCCTTTCACAGCTTCCAAATTTCACTTTTGCTCAAAGATGCAACAAATCTTTTGGATCAAATCTTGTTTAAACTGAGATTTGTTAGCATTTCCTGTCCAGTATTTTTATCCAAGGATTCTTCGAAATGTCAATTGATCCAAGGCAAAAAATGAAAAACAAATGTTATTGTGTATAAAACACAGTACATCCAAGAAAAATCTTGATCTTGGTATGATTTCAGAACCTCAGTCTCAGGAGCATAAAGCCTCTTTCACACAGAGAGCAATTTTCGCGGCGCCCACCGCGGGGTAGGGCGCAGAGCAAGCGGAGAGCAAGGCGCGCAAGACAGGATTTGGGGGAGTACAGGCTCGTTCAGGAGCTACAGCTCCATGGTGACCGCTTCCGGGTCTACTTCAGACTCTTCTCTGCTACTGGACGTGCTGAGGTGTCGTCACAGCACGTTGCGGTGAAATTAAAAAATGTTCAATTCGAGAGCGGGCTGGTGGGGCGCAGATGCCACGGTATGCGCCCTCTCGCGCGCCGCTCAGCTCGGCGGCAGAGCGGTGCCCTCTTGCGCTGCGGTAGCACATACACAATGAATGGGTTCGTTGGCGGAGGTCTGCGCTTTGCACGCTCTGTGTGAAAAGGGCTTAAGGCTCTCTCGCTGTCCTGTCTCTATTTTTTGTTGACCTCTACAATAAATTGAGAACAGTGAGGCACAGAAAAATCAGTCATGTAAAAACACAGCATCAAAAAGTTGGCACAAAGTCAGCTTCTGTCTTTAATGTTCCCTAGGTTTTCACGCATGGCTGGCATGCCCTCTGAGTTGACCTACATCACAGTCAGCTGAGGATGGGGCAGTGTTTTATTTCTTTCCCCTTCCCTTTTGTTTTGGCTTATGTTGATGTTGACAGCCATTTTATCTCATGCAAATGTAGTTTGGGCAGGAAATAGACTCTGGGATGTTGATACATGGTGGTAAAATAGTAGATACACTTTTCACACAACTCACTTTCATCCATGTGTACATAGATTTGGATTTACATGCAAGCCTGTCAAAGAGTTATATAATGCAGCTGCTGATTCACGACGAAAAACCAACAGGCTTGATTCTAAATTGAGCGTTTAATTTGAAAGAATCCCGTGGAACAAAACATTATGAAGTCATTAACCTTTTAGTAATGCTCTAATACAACAACTATTTTTATTTGATATCCTTATCTGACTAATTCATCAAAAGACCCTCGAGTGCTGCATTAGACAGTACACATGAAAACAGTTTTGTTACACATTTTTAAAGAATGAGGTCTGCAGCGCAACAGACTACAGGAGCCTTGTTTTTTTAAAGGAGAGTGAAGACATTTATCAAGTAAATGACATTTTATCAGATTGACTGTCCATACCCACTATCTCCCTGCATTTAAATGAGCAAATGTAATACGAAATATTAATTTGGTTTTACTTTACTCCCAAGTTGTACAGGGTGGGTCTGATGGCTTATAATTTAAATTGGAAATGTCAGACGGAAACAGGAACATTTCTACATGCAATCTAGGAATGTAAACTGGTTAATCTGTTTTGGGAAAGAGTTGTGGATCACACAGGAAAGTGGTTGGGCACGACAGTACCAAAGTCACCAAGGGGGACCAAACAGAATTGCCAAAAATATCAAAATATGACAGTGATAAATGTGGGGGTTGTCACAGCTGCTCGAGTAATCCTCAAATTCTGAAAGAGTACATCACCTTCGGATTTCGAAAAATGAAAGGGTCTATGTTAGAAATTGTGTTGTACGAACACATGTTAGCTAGGGTCGGCAATGAATTTGAAAGCTTTAACCCTATGGGCCCGAACAATGCATAGTGTGTCCAAATTCACACCTGTTTTTCTCTATGGACTTTCTCCGCGATCGTGCATTATAGCGAGAAGCCACACATATCACGTGAAACAGCGGAACCGTAGCTTTCCGACAAGACCAAGCACTTGTCGGTAGTCCAATGTTCTCATAGCGAAAAGTAATGATAAAGTTACACTAAAATTATGTATAACAGAGCTTTCATACAGCTTTGCACTGACATTACTGTTGGATGGATTACTCACAAATGCAGGCTCGCACAGAAATACCACGCATATCACATGAAAGTGCAGGACCAGAGCTTTCCAGTGATACCACACACGTCATTGCTGTCATCCCATCACGCTATAAATACAGATCAATTTTCTACAAAATAAAAACCTGACAAATTACTTTAAAATCCATTATACAGATCTTGTTATCAGTCACTTCATATAGTGAGGAATATTGTATCTTACCACGTCTTAGGCTTGCGTGTGTTTCTCCCTGTCTATCAACAATTGTAGTCAGGCTTTCAAGATGCAAATATCTCCATAATATCCAGTTGACACTCAATCAAACTTTGTATGACAAGACCAGTGCACTTCACCTTTGCGCACCCAGACAACAGTAGCCTAATTATGCATGCCTGACAGGACAGTAGTCACCATATACATGGTGACATGGTATACAGTACTGTCTGTTTGCTCAGATTTGAATGAATAGATAAATACAAATTTGAATTATAAAAAAAGATAACAAATACTGTCACATGATTTATGACTGATGCTTCATCGCATCACAATACAAAGGATACCTAAGAGCATTTTTTCATTGTATATTGTATGTTGTTTATTGGATGTTTACGGTTTTCAGTTGTGAGAGCAGCTTTATTTGTCAAAGAGTTGTGCAGGGATGACGTGTATAGGCTAGCCCGGATGTTAGCATTGCCCTGATTCCCTCGACAGAAAGCCTGAGTGATTCTTCCATTGGATTTAACTATTGCAGAAGATAAACTCTGCAGCAAACAAGAGTTTATAATATTTGCATGTTTTGTTCAACAAGAAAATCTTCAAAAATATACTTTACTTTTATGATTTTTAGGTGTTGTTGCAATCGGCAGAAGTAAAGAGCTAAGGCTAGACTTTAAACAAAACTACACCACAATCACAACGTAATGTCACCACCACATTAAAGCTGTAAAGCTGTGTTTGGCATGATAAAGTTCTGTAGTGTCTTGTGCCACTTGTAAACAGTCGCCTTTTCTAAGACACTTAAAGGCTTAAAAGTCATGGATGGGGTATTTACTAATGTATTAATGTCGTAGAACGACCCATGAAAATCTCTTGAGCTTGTGTTAACCACAGAACTTATTTCAGGCATCAAAAACCCGCTGACTTTGAGACGGGGGAGCCAGGAGTGCTAACATGCTAACTTATTTCTGGGGTTTACGACTCATTCCTGCAGTACTCCATTGGTAAAGGAGGTTGTGCTTTAACAAGGTTATTTTAGTGTAGTGCTAAATACAAAATCCAATGAGCATATTTCCAAAGAAATGTGAAAAGGTATCACATGTTGCATTTCCAAGTTGAGCAGAACAAAATACCCACACCTTTATTTGGCTCATATCATAATAGAAATTTGCTCACTTGTTTCAGCACAGGGCCTTCATCAGACCTTTATCTGATGGTTTATTTGCTCTCCATTATTGGAACTCTAGCAGCAGACTTACTTGCTACCAACACTGTTATCTGTGTGCAGGTTAAATGTGGCATTAGAGGAATTATGATAACATGGAACTGAAATTAAAACTAGACTGACAGAGAGAGGATATGAGTGTGGGTGGGACTGGGTGGCACTTTGGCATTACAGAGATCTAGTTTACAGTGTGTTGAAATGGCAACACACAAACCACCAGTTACCCCACTTCTCCCAACTCTTAACTTTTTTAAATGATTTAATTCAAAGAAATAGAAGTGGAAGAACAAATGGGTTCCCGCTTCAAACAAGCTTGTGTACATTTCAAAGTAAATGTTGAATGGGGTCTTTTTTCATCATCAGAAGGCACTGTAATCTCAGTAGAGTCATTGTGATGTGTTTTGTAGTCAAAGATGATAAAAAGTTTACTGATGAGTCATAAAAAGTGCAAGTTTTCACTTCCTCCCACTCATCTTAAAGCAGCTAACAGCAAAAAGAAAACTACTCCCGATGACCAAGCAAATTTCAATGGCACCTTCGTCTTTGTAACTATTTTAAACCTGAAATACTGCAAATTACAAAATGCAGCAAGAGATGGGAACAGCACTGGTACTGGCATTGCCAGCATGGCTTATGACTCATCTAACAACACGGAGGATGTGTCACACCCATTCTTTTCAACTGCATTGTGTGAATGGCTAATTAGGGCATTTGTTTTTGTGTTTGACAGTCATCCAAAAGCCTTTGTGAAGTAGGTAGAACCCCCCCAAAAAACATTCGCTTCTGGATTCTTTTTGAGAAATGGTAATAGTTTCTTCAGAACTCAGTGGTGACTCATACTTATCTTCAGTGTAGAAAGAAATGTTTTTTTCACAGAACATAGACATTCACACAATAGCTTGAAAGGGACCACCTAACTGATGCATTAATTCAAGACACAGTATTACAAGCAGGAATTGGCTTATTTGGCCTTAAGATCAGGCTATCTGGGTTCGGAACAACCACTGCCCATCAGGGCTGGGTATCCGAAATAACTCTGTGCCAAGTAGTATCAAAATGTCTGCAGTCAGATTATAGTCAAATTGCATCTTTTTTTGCAATGGGGGTCTGATTCCAAATGGTCCCGACTCCCTGCCTGATTGGCAAACTTTCTGTTGCTGCCATCTCCGGAGCAGCTGCCTCGGCGAACGATCAGTTCAGTGTCTGCCTGGTTAGCAAGCGCTAACACAGGCAGCAATAGCTAATATCAAACAGGGAGCTGA